TATTTTAGATATTAAAGAAAATATTTTTTATTTTTTATTTATACATTATGGTTATAAATTCACTTTTTGATTTTTAGATACATGAACCTAAAACCAATCAAATTATTTTTAGAAATAACTAAAACCAATAATTTTATGTCTTGAAAATCATTTAGGGTCCATTTGGTGTAGTTTTCCAAATATTTTAGATTATTGATATTATTTATATTTTATAAGTTAAAATTTTTTTTGAAAAACTTACATTTTAAATTTTTTTTAACTTTAAAAAGATTCTAAACAATAAAAAATCAAAAGTTTCAAATTCAAATTTTTCATAAATTTTTTTACTCACTTTTTCTTAATCTCTAAAAATAATTTTTAAATTTTTTTAATAAAAATTTAAATTTATCACTCATAAATAATATAAAAAAATAAAAACTCCAATAAAGTGCACCATGCCCTTAATCAAAACATTTAATAAATTTTTGGTTTAAGTACCATTTTGGTCCCTCAACTTTTCACTTTGGCACCAAAATTGTCCCTCACCTTTAAAAAGTACTAAAATTATCCTTAAATTTTCATTTTTGGTACCAAAATGGTCATTCCGTCAATTAAATGACAGGTGGCACGTTAAAATGCCAGCAAATCAATTCTTATTTTTGCTTAACTAATGACATGGAAAAAAAAAAAGTATAGTTGGCATTTTTGTTATGAGTTGGCATTTTCATTAAATTAAAAATAATAATTCTTTTTTTTTTTACCAACATCAGATTTTTTTCTTCCTCTTTCAATTTCTCTCTCCTTTATCTTTCCTTTTCTCTTACCTTTGCAAACCTAGGCTCTGGGTTTTCTCAAACCACCGAGAAAGTGATGATCGTCGCCGTCGATGATAGCGAGCACAGCGCCTACACGCTGGAGTGGACGCTCGATACCTCTGCAAACCCAGGCTTTCGATTTTCCCAAACGGCGGAGAAGCAAGTGATGATAATCTCTGTCAATGATGGTGAGCACAGCCCGCGTGTGAGTGTGGAGTGGACGCTCGATCACTTCTTTGTTCCTCTAGGTGATAGTGCCTTGTTCAATCTCGTCATCATTCACACCAAACCTTTTGCTACTATTATTTTCAGCCTTCTTCTTCTTCTCTCAAACCCAGATCTGGGTTTTTCCTAAACCCAGATCTGGGTTTTTCCTTTACCCAGATTGGCTCGAGAAGATGATAGGCTCGAGAAGATGATAGGCTCGAGAAGATGACCTAATGATAGGTCATCAAGTCCAGAGGTAGGCAGCAACAAGCGAAAGTACGAGGACCAGACCCCTCCGTCGTCCGGTGGAAGGAGGCCCACCGGCTTCTCATCTCCAGATTCGGTGCCTCGCTCTTACAATAGCGTTCCACCGCCTCTCGATGGCATTAAGATGGCTAAGCAGCGTGCTCAAGAGGTCACGGCTCACCTCACTGCTGCATCTACTCTTGCTGACGCCAAGCGTCCTCGCGTCGAGAATGGTTCTAGCGATTTTGATAACGAAAAGGCTTTAGTCCTGCTCCATCTGGCATTGTCTTCCAGCTCTTGCTCATTCTCTACATATAATTTCTTCTACTCTTCCCGTTTATTATATGTGTTTTTATTGATAGTGTCAATTGATTGATTGAATCTTACTAGTTTTTTGCATTTGAAACTTTAGTTAGTGTCTATCACAAACGTGCATTATTTTTTTTTCCTGGATTAGGGAATTTCGTTTCTCAGCTACTAATTATAAATTCTACTCGTTTCATTCGATTGTTCTTTATTGTATGAGTGAAGTGCTTTACTCTTGTTAGGTTGCTGTCTGAGATAGAGAAGAGGCGTGGAATGATAGGTCCGCAGCAGATGATAGGTCCGCAGATGTGCCTTGTTTAATATAATGGAATGATTTGTATTGCTTTTTTTATTATCATCGGCTTCATTAGATCGTTAATTTATGTGATGAAACCCAGATTTGGGTTTGAGAAAAACCCAAATTTGAGTTTGAGAAAGGAAGAAGAAGGGAGAAGAAAGAGAGAGAATAAGAAGAAGAATGAGCGAAAATAATGCATTATTTTTTTTTCCTGGGTTTGAGAAAAACCCAAATCTGGGTTTAAGAAAGGAAGAAGAAGGAGAAAGGAAGAAGAGGAAGAAGAAATCTGATGTGGGTGAAAAAAAAAAAGAATTATTACTTTTAAATTAAATAAAAATGCCAACTCATAAAAAAAATGGTCAACTATATTTTTTTTTTCCATGTCATTGATTAAGAAAAAAAAAAGAATTGATTTGCTAGCATTTTAACGTGCCACCTGTCATTTAACTGACGGAAGGACCATTTTGGTACCAAAAATAAAAGTTTAAAGATAATTTTGATACTTTTTAAAGATGAGGAACAAGTTTGGTGTCAAAGTGAAAAGTTGAGGGACCAAATTGGTACTTAAACCTAAATTTTTAGTTGATTTTGGTTAATTTTTCGGTTCAGATAATTTTTACCGTGAGGGGTCCAAAGAAGGCGGTATACACCTCAGTTGCGATCGTACCAATAAAGAAAGATTTGAAGGAGATTGTCCCTCAAAAAACTGTCAATTGCGGACCAGCCTTGCCAGTTCCCTTATCATATCAATAATTGAGAAAGACTATGCAGCAAAGAAATAATACTAATTGACGAAGACTTGGGAAAGGGCTGCAAGACGAGTCTTCTCCTCACGGCCAGCCTGGTCAATTGTCTTATCATATCAATAATTGTGAAACACTATGTAGCAAAGAAATAATACTAATTGACTAAGACTTGGGAAAAGGATGCAAGACGAGTTTCTCCTCACGGCCAGTCTGGTCAATTCTCTTATCATATCAATAATTGTAAAAGATTAGGTAGCAAAGAAATAATACTAATTGACGAAGACTTGGGAAAAGGATGCAAGACGAGTCTTCCCCTCACGGCCAGCTTTGTCAATTCTCTTATCATATCAATAATTGTAAAAGACTATGTAGCAAAAAAATAATACTAATTGACGAAGACTTGGGAAAGGGCTGCAAGACGAGTCTTCCCCTCACGGCCAGCCTTGTCAATTCTCTTATCACATCAATAATTGTGAAAGCCTATGTAGCAAAGAAATAATACTAATTGACGAAGACTTGGGAAAAGGATGCAAGACGAGTTTCTCCTCACGGCCAGCCTGGTCAATTCTCTTATCATATCAATAATTGTGAAAGACTATGTAGCAAAGAAATAATACTAATTGACGAAGACTTGGAAAAAGGATGCAAGACGAGTCTTCTCCTCAGGGCCACCAGCCTTGTCAATTCTCTTTATCATATCAATAATTGTGAAAGACTATGTAGCAAAGAAATAATAATAATTGACGAAGACTTGGGAAAAGGATGCAAGACGAGTCATTCTCCTCATGGCCAGCCTTGTCACTTCTCTTATCATGTCAATAATTGTGAAAGACTATGTAGCAAAGAAATAATAATAATTGACGAAGACTTGGGAAAAGGGATGCAAGACGAGTCTTCTCACGGTGAATACTGAACAGTCCTACAACTTACGATAACGCTTGCTCAGGATGGACAAAATAAATAAATAAATAAATAAAAATTATATTTGTTTAGAGAAATATATTTTTTTTAATTTTATATATAATAATATTATAATTATAATATTATA